GTTTAAACATTTCACCAACCACACAGGACAATCTTAGAGATCTGAGTATAAATTATGCCACTCCTATTGACAGGATAATGATTCATTTTTCTTCTCTAAGGGTTTACAAATGGAGGTGCATTTATTTGCTTGGAGGTGTTGACTTAAAATATCTGGCACCGATTCACTAAACAAAAGATGGTGCTATAAAAAATTTAACAAAAGTGTTCACCATTCAGAAGAGTGTGATAGCCCACAAGACCACACAGAAATTGCAACCATTCCATTTATTATGTTTTATTGATTCTTCAGGAGAAACATGGTGGAGGAGGGAGAGAGGGCACGAGGTAAAGGAAATCTCATCAGAATTCATAAAAGCTGGTAGGAAAATAGCTCTAGACTGAGGGTCAGGAGTTCTCAATTTTTGTACTGGTATTGCCTGTAGCTATGTAGCATTGGACAAATCAAGTTAATTTCCAAGATCCAGTCACTTCCTCTATAAAATAGGCCAGGTAGGTACCTCCACTTCTATCCATCTCTTGTATTTCTTGTTGTTCAAATAAGAATGGAGACACTGAAAACACCTTGGAACCAAAAAGAGCAGGGGGAAGACAGAAGATATTGCTTTAGTGAAAGAACAAATTAAGAATGACATAAGGCATTTATTAATTTATTCATGAAAATAATAGTACAGGGATTATTTTCAAAATTACTGTGTTATAAGAAATGTACACACAAATTACCAGAAAGTTCACAAAGGTAAGAGCATATCTTTAGAACCACTGTTCTAAAACTGTTAATAATATAGGTTTTCTTCCTTTAAAACTCCCATTAAATTTGAAGTTCTCTGGATGAATTCCCACTCAGACGTATTATCCTATTATCCTCTATTTTTCAAGATTTAAAACAAATCATAAACTATGTCTGCTCAATTTCCCCAACACACATCCAAGTGGGAACTGACTAAATGAAAACAATAGTTTGGAAATACCAGCCATGTTTAGCCTCATGAACTGACCTTCTTTTTGCTGTCCAGAGATGCGTAGTGGGGCATCCTTATAGGGGAGCTGCTGGAGAAAAGTGACAATTTGGACCACTGAGGCTGCTCAAGCCACAAGGAAAAGCAGTGACTGTAAAAAATCAGCCAATTTCTTAGTTCTTGTTCAGGGAAAAGAACAGCTTGCTTTCTAAAGGCTTCCTGCATTGGAGCACATTCTTGATGAACCCACTCACGACCTGCCAAGATACCAGCTGTTGGGAGGAACTTGATGTTCTGTATTGGGATTTTGGTTGTATGCTAAGCTCAGAACATTTTCAGAGGTCATCACAGTCTTAAAAGAGAATTAAAGAGAAAATTTGTCTTATTAGTATGTATCCCCATGTAAGTGAGTGTAATGTTAGTCTTTCATGTTGATTTCTATATCCCCAGCAACTAAAAGAATGCCTGAAACATGGCAGCTGCTTAGTAAATATCTTTTGAATGAATGAATGAATATATGAATATAAAAGTGGCAGTGAAAGTGACTCACAGTGTAACCTTACAGCCTAAAAGAGTGTCAGATCAGGAATCAAAAAAGTGTAGCTCCAGTGCTGAGTTGGTGTTCGGTCATTTTCGTTTCTGATCCATTTTCACCATCTGAAAATGAGAGGGTTGCACCAATTATTCTTTTAGTTCTTAGGTTCTAAGGTCAAGTCAGCTGTAACATACATAGCTCTGTCCCAGATTGCTTTAAGCCTTGAAGTATGATGCAAACGCTTCTCAGGCGAAATGATTCCACCGAAATTCTTGAACGTGTTGAATTGAGACTTACTGTCCAACATTTATCGGCTGAAAGATATGATGGACTACCTCCTCAGTAGCAGGTGCAGATACCATACCACATGAGTTCTGCTCTGAATGAGAGATGTGGTTCTCATTGGCAGGGCTCAGGCTAAAAATGTCTTCTCCAAGCACACAGTTTCTTACAGTTTGTCTTACAAAGCCTTGTGAAATCCAACCCCAACCTCACTTGTCTAAAAAGTGCCCTTTATTACACTTCGCTGCAGCCAAGCTCATCTTTCCATGCTTCCTAAAGTGCCACCTACATTCTGGCTGTTGAGTATTTTCTTGACATGTTCATCTGTCTTTGCTTCCTGCCTTTCTTCTTTCCTCCCTCTCCCATTTCAATCCAGAAAGGGATATGGGTCTGTCAAAGATTATGCAGAACCTAGGGACTAAGAAAGATCAAGATCCCTAAACTCCTTACTCTCAGATTTCCAACAAATGTGTCTCTATCACCAAAATCTTCTCCCACCTCTTCCCCAATCTTCGACACTGCTTCTACTTTCCATGTGACTGCTCATGCTCTTCCTCTACGTCTCCCTCTCCCACCCAGTGAACTTGCCCACATTTCCATGCAAATGCCAGTCATTCCCTTCCTTTCAGCATCTGCACTGCAATGGTGATTTATTGGAGTTCTCTTTTACTTTGTAATTTTCTGGACATTTTCTTCACATTCAGGAATGTTCTTTCCCCTCTATACTGAGCTGGAAATTCTATGAAGGCAAAGATCATTTAGGATTATGTTCAATTGCAAATAACCAAAAACGGACTGCTGGTAGCTGACACGAAAAGGTGTTTCATTTTCTCCCATATCAGGAAGTAGGTGGTTGCTGACACTATTTCTTCTGTTCAGTGATGCATGAAGTCAGAGACTCTGATTTTGTCTATTTTTCTGGTTTACCAGTTTTAGGGAATTGGTTTTCATCCTTTGCTTGTGGCCTAAGTAATAGCTCCAGACATCATAACATACACAGCTGGAGGAGAAGGCATGACAGTTTCTCTCTCTGTCTCCATCTCTGTCTCTCTTTCTTTTATTTCTCCCAAGAAAGCAAAAGTTTTCCTAAAACTGTCTCCAGCAGATTTCTGCCAGTTTTGTGAGTCACCTGGTCATTCCTACTTGAAAAGAGGCTGAGAGTCTGGGGAACAGAAATGACCCTGTTGGCTGTGATCAGTGATAAGCTATTGCTTAGGGTTAGACACCTCACTTCCCTAGGCAAAACCAGGAATCCATTAGGGAAGATGGGAGGAGGAAAAGAGGGTTAAACAATCTTTTTTTGGTTATTTGCAATCTTATCCATAATGACCTTGACCTTTCAAATCTAACTTCTCACCTCAAATGCTCTCATCACAAAAAAATTATCTTTTTTTTGGTGAATATGCTAATTATCCATAATGACCTTGACCTTTCAAATCTAACTTCTCACCTCAAATGCTCTCATCACAAAATTATCTTTTTTTTGGTGAATATGCTAAACCGGTGCCTTGTGTACTCCACTGATGGTCAACATCATAGTGCTATGATTGGAGTTGTCCTGCTTGTTACATGGCTCTTAATATGCAATATTTAGGATGAGACTATTCAATTCTTCCTACGTGTTTGCTCCCTACAAAACTGTGAGTTAATTTGGTAGTTGCAACATCAGCTGGCACCATCAAACTCCAATTAGTTTTCACATGTAATCAAATGCCCTTCAAAAGTTAGATTCTTAAGCTTTTGATGTTGAAGCAATATTTTCTCAAATATAGGCTGCTCCTATACTGTAGTGACCAAATAACATGAGAGTTGTAACTGTGGGCAGGCTAAAACCACCATGAGGGACTAAGCTGGAATAGTAACCTTAGAGAGTAGGTTTGTATTCAGTGGGGCAACAGGTCGGGGTGGAAATATGATTACAATGTCAGAGGAGAACGTAGTGTGCTGAGTGACCACCATTACTGAGAAATAAGCTAATTGATATTCAAATACTGGGTATGTGTGTGTGCATGTGTGTGACACCCCATTCCTTGCTGGGACACACAACAAACCTGCGTTATTTTTTCACAATGACATATTTCTGGCATGACACAGTGGTTTGAGTTAGATGCTTTAGTTGATGTCATCTACATACAATATAAGTGGATTTTTAGACCTGCCACATTCTGTTATGGATCCCAGGCAAATGAGGTGATTGTCTTTCCAGCAGGTACAACTCAAGCCTCCCAAGAGCAAAAGATCAAAACAGCATGTTTCTCTTTCTTCCTCTGTTTTCCAATCTTCTCTCTTCCTCTATTTTCCGATCTTCTTTCTTTTGCACATTTTAGCTTTATGAATATGTTCATTCCCATTACCATGTTAACAGTCCACTTCTCTCTTCTATTGAGTTGATTTTGCTCACCTGTGGGCAGTTCTCTGTAAGAGAGGGTGAACATCTCAATTCTGTGATCATGAAACTCCACACATAGGTTTCCCCAGTGTGCACTAGGTGAGTCCTCAATCCTGAGCAAAACCTGCCCCTCCACTAATCACTTTGCCAAATGGAGTTTGCTCTAATTTGTTTAATCACTCAACTGCAAATGAAACCTAATGAGAAGCTGGGTTTCCATGGAGAATTATTCTCCTCCTCCTGCCGAGAAGGTGGTAAAATAGCCATTTCTTCTCCCCAGCAGCCCCAGGAGAATTCGCAGATTTTTCAGCCCTCCATATTCCATAATGCCTTCCAGACTTGGAGGAATTATGGCATCAAGGTTGTAGTCACCATTGCCCAGGGATACTTTTCCTGTTCTCTGTGGCATTCGCAGATTTTTCAGCCCTCCATATTCCATAATGCCTTCCAGACTTGGAGGAATTATGGCATCGAGGTTGTAGTCACCATTGCCCAGGGATACTTCTCCTGTTCTCTGTGGCATCCCTCCTGCCGAGAAGGTGGTAAAATAGCCATTTCTTCTCCCCAGCAGCCCCAGGAGAATTCGCAGATTTTTCAGCCCTCCATATTCCATAATGCCTTCCAGACTTGGAGGAATTATGGCATCAAGGTTGTAGTCACCATTGCCCAGGGATACTTTTCCTGTTCTCTGTGGCATTGTAAGCACTATAACAAAGCCTAATGATCACCTCCTTCCTTCATTCTCCCTACGTCACCATCCTAAGAGCTCCCTAAAAATGCTTGGCTAGAATATCAGCACATAAATTCTACTTCAACCTGAGTTTGCTTTATCCAGTATGGAGACACCCACCTACAGCAGTATCACCTAAAGCAGTGATCTCAAACTGTGGTCCCCAGGCCAGAGCGTCAGCATCACATGGGAACTTGTAGAACTGCAAATTCACAGACCTCAACCAACTACTGAATGAGAATCTCTAGAAATGGGGACCAGCAATATGTGTTTTAATAAACTTTCCAGGTGAACTAATTCATGAGAATCACTGATCTAAAGCTCTTCAGATTCTTGGGCTTGCTCTACTGCTTACTAAATAAGAATTCACTAAGGGTGAGACCTGGATAGATACGTAGGTAGGTAAGTAGGTAGATTAGATAGATGAGAGACAAACAGATACACAGATGGTAGACAGAGTACAAAAATACTTAAACTTCATGTTGAAATGATTTTAGATTTAAAGAAGAGTTGCAAAGATGGAATTCCCATACAGCCTTCTCTCGGTTTCTCCAAAGGTTGATACCTTAACTAAACACTGTATAATTTATCAAAACTGAAAAATTAACAATGGAAAAATACTATTAACTAAACTACAGACTCTATTCAAATTTCACTATTTTTTAACTGGATTTTCTTTTTCTGTTCTAGGATCCAATACAGTTTTCAGTTTCTAAGTCTTTTATTTCATGACCTTGACAGTTTTAAAGAGCACTAGTAAGGTATTTTGTAGAATGTCCCTCAAATTGGATTTTTCTGATGTTGTCTCAGGGTTAGATGAAGGTTTTAAATTTGAGGGATGAATGAAACCCAAGTGAGGTGCTCTTCTAATTGCATCATATCAGGAGGCATGTGAAATCAACATAACTTGTCACTAGTGGGGTTAACAGTGATCCAGTTAAAGTGGTGTCTGCCAGGCTTCTTTTTCCCCTTCCATGTTATTTAGAAGCAAGTCACAAAGTCCAGCTTGCCGTCTTAGTTTGCTTCAGTTGCTATAACAAAATAACACAGACTAGGTAATTTATTAGCAACAGAAATTCCTTTCTCTCAGTTCTGAAGGCTGGAAAGCCAAGATTAAGCCACCAGCAGATCAGGTGTCTGGTGAGGGCCTGTCCAAATGATGATGTTTTCTCAGTGTCCTCACATGGCAGAAGGGGTGGAACAGCAAAAGGGACTAGGACACTCCCTTTAACCTCTTTTATGAGAGCAGTGATCCCATTCATGTGGACACAGTGGTCGTGATTTATTCACCTCTTAAAAGGCCCCATATCTTAATACTCTCGCATTGGGTATTAGGTTCCAACACATAAAGTTTAGAGTAACACATACATTCAAACCATAGCACCTACACTCAAGATTTACAGAGTTAATCGCCACCTCTCAGAAAAAAGGAGTACCAAATAAGTGGTAGGCATATGTTGAAACCACCAGAATAATAAACAAATAAGTGGGGGAGATACTTTTAGGCAATATAAATGACTGGATTCTCCTTATATTTTCCACACTAATTTTCGCATTCATCTGTGGATCTTACAAACAGCAATTCTTAGTGCAGTGTTCTGATGGTAATATTCTATTCCCTGCCTTTCTTCTACATTAACTATTTGGAATTGTTCTGTATAGATGACTTTTTTTCCATCTTTCCCATGTATTTATTTATTTAGGCATTGATTTGTATCAGTATGGATTCATGAATATGTATTTTGTTCTTCAGATAATAATTCAATGTCATTATTTATTTTGATGTTCAGAGTGTTTTAGCTTTGTTCACTGGAAGCTCTTTTGGGTTGGCTCTTGTGTCCATCTTATTTCCCGACACTGCAACATGATTCAGGCTCATCTTGTGTGTGTCCTTCCCTAGCCTTAGAATCAGTTATTCCTCCAAAAGACCTGGTTCTTTTTACGGAAAGATGGGATTTCAGAACCAACATCTGGCACTAAGAGCCCTTGTTGCTATGGGGTGTTATCACTTCTAGGTGCTCTCAGTGGACAGTGCTGGGAGGTATTTATATGTATATAAGGGCCCTTCAGAAAGTTCATGGAAAAATGGAATTAAAAGATAATATGAATATTTCCATGAACTTTTTGCAGACCCCTCTTACTAACCCATGTATGCAAGCTTTGCTCCCTCTCTAGAACCTGATCTTATACTGGTATTTCTGACTCTAATCCAGCACCAGAGAGTTCTTTCTAGCCTCTGCTCCTTGCTGATTTATAAGTTCCTTAACAGTGAGAAATTTGGGTCCCATTATCTACAATTTATTTACTCTTTTATTTAACTCAAATATGGAGAAGAGTCTTAGAATTGCTAACCTGAATACCTGTGAGGAATAAATTTACAGGATACTATTTCAAGTACAATTCTTTTGTTCTTTGGCCTTATGGTTTACAATCAAAACACTGTTTTTCAGTTACTTAGGTTAACTCCTTTTCTACACATCCCCTTCAGTGAGATTTCTTTATACATTCTTTTGTCACAAATTCCATGGTACTCCAATTGACTTTAAAAATTTTCATACAGTAAAATTAAATTACAGTGGTGTATTGTTCTGAAGGTGCATGGAGTCCCGTATCTACCACCATGGTACCATACAGAACATTTCCACTAAACAAAATTCCTTTGTTGCCAACCCCTTGCTGTCTCTCAACCTCTGACATCGACTGGTCTGTTTTCCACCTTAAGCTTTTGCTTTTTCCAGAAGAATGTCATATGGATAAAAATTATATAATATGTAACCTTTTTGGTTTGGCTTCTTTCATGTTGCAAAATGCATTTAAGATCCATTCACATTCTTGCATAAATCAATAGTTCCTTTTTGTTCCTGAGTAGTGTTCTGTCCTGTGGATGTGCCACAATCTGTCTATCCATTTATCTGTTGAAGGATGTCTTACTTGTTTCTAGTTTTAGTGATTATGAATAAAGTTGCTGTAAGCATGTGTGTGCACATTTTTGTAAGCATAAGTTTTCAATTCACTTGAGTAACAACCTAGGATCAAAACTACTCCATGGTCTACTTAATATTTTGGGAATGCCAAACTGTTTTCTAAAGTGTTTGTATCATTATGCTATTCATTATGTATCTCACAAGTAATGAACCAGCATTCCTGTTGCTCTGCATCTTGGTATTGTTAGTTTTCTTGTTGTTGTAGTTTTATTGAGATATTTAATAGATGTGTAGTGGAATATCATTGTGGCTTTAATTAGCAATTCTCTAATAACTGACATTGAGCATCTTTTCATGTATTTGTTTGATGTTTCTGTATCTTTTTTTATTGAAATGTAATTGATTATATATATTTGTAGGGTACAGATTTGAACATCAATACATGTGTAAAAATGTGGTGATCATATATCTTCTTTTGTAAGTGTGAATTCAGATTACCTTTTTTTTTTGCTGAGTTTAAGAGTTTTTAATATATTCTGGATACAAGTCATTTATCAGATATGTGATTTTATCCTAGTTTTTGGCTTACGTTTTTGTTTTCTTAACACTGTCTTTCATAGAAGGCAAGTTTTAAATGTTCACAAAATCCAGTTTACCAATTTTTTCTTCATAGATTGTGCTTTTGATGTCATATCCAAACACTCACTGCCAAACCCAAAGTTATATAGAATTCCCTTTTGTTTTCTTCTAAAGGTTTTCTAGATTTATATTTTACACTTGAGTCTATCATTCATTAAGAGTTAATTTTCATATGGTATAAAGTATATGTCAAGATTTATTTCTGCATGTGGATATCCATTTGGCATTATTTGTTGAAAAGGCTATCATTTTTGATTTCCTTTGCACCTTTGCCAACAATCAGTTGGCTGTATTTGGGTTGGTCTATTTCTGGGACTCTATTTTGTTCCCTTGATTTAAGTGTCTATACTTTTTTCAATACTACACTGACTTGACTACTGTAGATTGATAGTCTTGAACTTGGGTAGTATGAGTCTTCAATTCTGTTCCTTTTTGGAATTGTTTTGGCTCTTCTAGTTCCTTTGCCTTCTCATATAAATGTTAGAATTCGTTGTGGAAATCTAGGGAAAAAAAATAAAGAAGAAGCTGGCTGAGATTTTGATTGAGATTGTATTGGATTTGTAGATAAAATTGGGGAGAATTCATTTAGATATTTTAAAATTTTTTTAGCCATATTTTATAGTTTTATTATTTATTTATTTATTTATTTTTTTAATTTATGTATTACAAATATTCATGAGATACAAAGCTGATTGTTCCCCCTCCTGCCCATGATGTGAGGGTCAGATTCATACTGGGGGCATACCCATTACCAGAAATTACTTTTGTACCCTTTGTCCCCTCCCAATTAACCCCCAACATCCCTCCCCCACACCCCTCCCTTCCACTCCAATTTGTAGCCCTAGGAATGTTCCCTCCCTCTGTTGGATCATGGGACTACTGTGGTCTTTCTTTCCTGCCTTCCTTTCTCTCTTCGCTCCCACATATGAGTGAGTACATGCAGTATTTATCCTTCTGTACTTTGCGTGTTTAACTCTACATAAGTTTCTCCAGGTTCATCCATGTTGTTGCAGATGGGAGTATTTCATTCTTTTTTACAGCACAGTAATATTCCATAGTGTACATATACCACAGTTTCCTTACCCAATCATCTATTGATGGACAAAAGTTTTTAGCATACAAATCCTGCACATATTTTGTTACATAAACACTACATGTTTTGGTGGTATTGTCAAATAGCACTATTTTTAATTTAAAATTCCAGTTTGTTTCTTGCTGATATAGAAGCATATGATTGACTTTTGTACATTGAGTTTATATCCTACAACCTTAAGTCACGTATTAATCCCAGGAAATTTTGAATAGTTTTTTGGGGGGATAGTTACATAGATAATAATAATGTCATTTTAAATAGAGATGGTTTTATTTTTTCCTTTGCAAACTCTTTGCCTTTTGCTTCTTTTTCTTTCCATATTTCAACTAAGACTTCCAATCCAATAGTAAATAGGAAGGCACAACCTTGTCTTGTTGTGGTCTCCTACTATTAAGTATAATGCTACCTGTAGACTGTTGTAGATGTCTATTATTAGGCTAAAAACGTTCTCTTCTAATCATAATTTACTGAGTTTATAGTTTTTTATCATGAATGTATATTGAATTTTGTTAAGTGCTTTTTCTACATGTATTGAGATGATTGCATGTTTTTTCTTATTTTGTCTGACAATAAGTGAATTATAATGATTGATTTTCATATAATGAATCAACCTTACATTCCTTGGATAAATCATTACTTTCCATGGTGTTTTATCATTTTTATATTGCTAGATTGGTTTTATTAATATGCTCCTAAGTATTTTTGCAACCATGTTCATGAGTAATATCAGTCTGCATTTTTTATTTTTACTTTGTAGTTTTTTTGTCTGGTTTGGATATTAGGTAATAACTGACCTCATGAAATGACCTATGTTCTTTCCTCTTCTATTTTCTTGAAGAGATTGTACAGATTATGTTTTACTTCTTTCTTCGCTGTTTGGTAGAATTCATCAGTGAAATCATCTGAGCTGGGATCTTTCTTTTTTGGAAGCTTTATAAACTGGAAATTTATATAGGATCATTCAAGTCATATATTCTTCATTCAGTTTTGGTAATTCGTGTCTTTCAAGGAATTCATTCACTTCATTTACATAGCTGAAATTATTGGCATAAAGTTGTTCATAATGTCCTCTTATTACATTTTAATACCCGTGAGATCAGCCATGTTGGCTCTCTTTCATTCCTGATAATACTATTTGAGACTTTTTAAAATTTTGGTAAGTCTGGCTAGAGATTTATCAATTTTATTGCTTATTACATTTTAATACCCGTGAGATCAGCCATGTTGGCTCTCTTTCATTCCTGATAATACCATTTGAGACTTTTTAAAATTTTGGTAAGTCTGGCTAGAGATTTATCAATTTTATTGATCTTTGCAATAAAGCAACTTTTGATTTCATTGTTTTTCTCTATTATTTTTCCGTTTTTAAATTTGCTTGTATTTACTTTAACTTTTATTACATCCTTCTTTCTGTTTTTGTGGGTATTTATTCAGCTCTTTTCTCTTACTTTTTAAAATGGAAGTTTAGGTTGCTGATTTTAGATGTTGCTTCTTTTCTAATATAAGCAGATAATACTATGATTTCCTTCTAAACACTACTATTATACATTTTGATATGTTGTACTTTTATTTTTATTTAGTTCAAAATATTTTTTTAATTTCCCTTAACACTTCCCCTTCCATCCATGTGTTATAATTTATAAGTATGTTCTTAAATTTCCAAGTGCTGAGGGATTTTTCTGTTATCTTTATGTTATTGATTTCTACTTTGAATCTGTTCTGGTCTGAGAACAAACTTTGTGTGATTTTTATGCTTTTAAATCTGTTAAATTTTATTTTATTTTATGGCCCTGAATATGGTCTATCTTAATGAATGTTCCATTTGCACTTGAAAAGAGTGCATACTCTTTTGTTGTTGTGTGGATTGTTCCATATATGTCAATTAGATGAAGTTGGTTGATAGTGTTATTGGATATCTGTATTTTGAAGAAGGAACATAGGTGATTTCATGCACACTGAAACTTGAGAGCCACTTACAACGAGCTAATGTTAATTGGAATTAAAGTGTAATGGAGGCACAATTTGGGATGTGAATTTATATTTGTCTCTATTTGTGGAATTCTAGTAGCATCTCCCCAATTCTCCATGTCCTAGATGTAAGCTTGTTGATGGCAGGGATCTCTCAAACCTATTACAAGTAGAGCAAGGGTTTACTCTTCCCTCTGTCCCTAGGTCTTTTGTCCCTTGAATGGCCTTTAGGACCTTTCCTGAAAAATATCCTTTCTACCCATCTCACGCATATTAGCCTTTCTTAAAGTGTATTTTGTAAACTACTGGATCCAGGAGCAACTGCTAAGCAAGAAGTAGGGTAGTAGGAATTGTATCAATTGCTTAGTAAATTGCTGCATATTTCCCCATTTTGAAATTCATAACGTCAATTAATACCATAATGGCTCTGAGAAGTCTGGAGTAAACAAATCTATTTATCTGTTTAATCTCCTTTTCCCTTAACATTGAATGAGTGATACGAAGTAGATTATGAGGTTTTTCAGAGGATAAAATGAGATAACATACATAAAACACTTAATAATGACTTGGGTACATAGTATATGGTCAGTAAAAGTTTGTTACTATGATTTATAGTACTTGGTGGTCTTGTTGTTTTCATTACTTTTAGTTTTAATCCATTGGAACTGAGCTGTAAAAGTTGATATTGGTATGAGGGGAATAATAATTCTGAGAATGCAAGTACCATAAAAAAATCACAAAGATAAACCTGAACTTGACCTGTTCCAGTGTCATAGTGTAATTTATTTATATTGTAGTTTTAGTGTAGTGTATTGCATTCATGTTAAAGACTTCTAACCCACCCACTTCATCTGCCAACCTAAACCTACCTTCTCAGAATTAATAGCATTGGTATTCCTGAGCCTAATTAGATGTTTATATCACAGAGATCATGAGGTTGTGCAATACTGTGCAAAGTGCGCTAAGTATGAACAACAGCACGGGAGTGGGCATGATGGCTTCTGTCTTCCTTACTTGGCAGCATCATCAAGGAAGTGCTGTGCACTCACAGTCCAGACTTCCCTCCTCCTCAACTCCTCCCTGCTTCCTCTGATATCTCTGTGGGAACTTTATTGACACTCTGCTTTCTTTTCTTAAACAGGTGGGCTCTGCATTGCCCAGTCCGTGAGAATCCCCCAAGAGCGCAAAGACAGAACCATTGACTTTGATAGAATTATCAAACAGCTCCTGGACACCCCCAACTCCAGGGCCGTCGTGATTTTTGCCAACGATGAGGATATAAAGTAAGGATGGCTGGGGAAATTCGTTGATATGCATGTTGTGACTTCAGAAGACAGAAAGTTTAGAACACTGGCTTTTTCTAGAAGAAAAGATAGCATAGGATCAAAAGCTGTAATTACACAGCGGCCAAGTCTGCAAGTGCCTTCTACCCCCACACACGTAGTTATACGAACCACAGAAGTAGCAGCATTTTGCTGTCGTGTATTTTCCTTCTATTAGCAAAATAAGTGTATTCAATTATTTGTAAAAAGAGAAAAAACACTAGACCTTTTGAAGGTTCTTTTATTAAAAACATATCCAAATATGACAGACTTTCATCGAAAGGATGGTTCTCCTTAATGTGAAAGAAAGACGTTTTATAATTCAGGCTTTGTTGCTAGTGCCTCAAACTCAATATGTTGCAAACAAAACTTGTCATACCTCTACCTTCTCCATTTTTCCCTTTTTCTCTCCTTACCTTGACCCTTCTTGCATGCAAAGATCTGCTTGTAATCTTGACTTCCGTTTTCTTTATAGCTCCTTGCATTCTTGGCCAAGCCATGAAGAGCCAACCTTTGAAATGTTTCTAGAACATAAATGTCTCCTGCTTTCTTTTCTCACCACTACCAAACTGATTCAGAATCTTTATTTTTATCTTTTTAGAATAAATAGTAATTATACCTGATTAAAAAGTAAAAATAAAAAAGGAAAAAAGAAGGAAAACAAAAGTCTCATTCATCCTGTCCCCTAGCTAACAAGTTGTCCTCCCCAGATGTGATAGTTAATTACTAGTTTTTTGTATATCCCTCTAGTGACATTCTGTGTATGTGCTAGAGGGGTGTGCTCCCTGTTTTCATGCAAATGGTACCATGCTATGTCTACATCTTGTCTGCTCCTTGCTTGTCTTTATTTAAGATTTTATCAAGGAGGTCACTGGCTATCAGGACCTATACATCTATTCAGTCTTTTCAGTAGCCATATGGAATTTCGTTTTACATATGAACTGTAATTTATCTAGCTGCTCACTTATTGACACATATTTAAGTTTTATTACAGACTTCTGCAATTATAAATAATGCTGCAATAAACTTTCTTTTCCACAAAACTGTGTGCACAAATGTAAATATACAAATATATAATATTAATACACAATGTATGTGCAATGTGTAAATATTAATATTAATGTAATACAAAGTGAAATGATGTACAAATCTATTATTTTGTATATTTATCTTATAAATACTTACAAGAAAAAGTCCTACAAAGGAAATTTCTAAGACAGAGATGTGTTCCTTTTTAAGAAGATATGAATATTGCCTCCCAAGTTGTGCCAATTTGCATTACTAATGATATGAAAGGGCTGTATATATGTGTGTTTTAACTCTTTCCTATCATGTAGTTAAAAATAATATATCATTGACAATGAAGGTGAGTATCTTTTATTAAGGGTAATGTTTAAAGCCCCAGACCATTATTACTTCTTGCTTGGATTTTTGTACTGTCATGATCACCAGCCTACCAAACCTGTATCTCCCCCTTCTTCGCTTATCCCAAATACTGCCCCTGAATCCATCCATCTCCCCAATACGAAGCTTTGATCATAGGTGAGATGGCAGGACTGTTTAATGGAAAGAGTATTGAACTTGTACCTGAGATTTTTTGCTATATACATGGGCCCTGTCTCACCTTGGGCAAGTTCCTCGCACCACCTTCCAACTTCTTTGGACCTCAGTTCTCCCATCAATAAAGTGAAAAATCCATTTGAGCTCCTTTTAGGGTGATCTGGCCTGGTTCTACCTTTCTTGATTTATTTCATTCCTGGCTCCCTCCTGTTTTGTGTACTGTGGGCAGAGGGGCTATTTGTACGCATTTCCTCCCTCCCAGGTCTTCATACCTTCTCTTCTTCCTACCTGGAAAGCTTTTTCTTCCCCACTTCATTATCCCAATGCCATCCCTAGTGTCCCTTTCTCAGAAAAAAATTCTCTGGACAACATAGCTTTGGAAAATTCTTGCTAATAGCTCAGTTTTATAGTTTATTTCAATGGTGTCATTTTACATGGTTGGATCATTTACTTAGTACCTGTGTTCTCCACTAGTCTTTAAGCATCATTAGGGCTGAGATAGGTCCTTTTTGACTAACTTTTGAATTCTCAGTATGTATCCCAGTGCTGGGACATAGTAGATGCTCGATGAATGGCATTAGGTACATGAATGAAATGCCTAGTCTGATGTCCAGTATTGAATGATTTCAGTACAAGCTTCTCTTTCTGAACTCCATGATGATTGAAAATGTGGCCCAGTTTTAAGATGTTAGACCTCACTTACACTCACTCAGTTCTCCACCCCTAATGCATGACTCTGATCTTCCAACACGTTCTAATTGCTCCTCCATCATGGCCTTTGCTCACGGCATTTTTTCTTTTCTTCTCCACCTGTTGAACTTGTGTCTGTTCTTCAAGGTTTATTTCAAATGTGCTCCTTTCCAGAAAACTTTCTAATCATCCCTTCAGTGTATGATTTTTCCTCCTCACAAAATGCTGGTTGCATTGCTCTTAGGGCATTTTCTTTCTCATTTTGAGTTTTAGTGATTCATGAGATTTTGTTTTCATCATATTACTCTTATTTTTCTGCTTCTGTTTTCTTTCAATTCTACAATACCCTTCTTAATCATCTCATAAATTCTTTTTATACCTATTTTACTTATTTGTTAAATATGCACTGTTAAGGTATGGCTTCATGCTTATATTTAAATACATTGCACACAGCAGGTAAAAGATTTAAAGCAAATAGCTCTGGTAACTAATAATGCTCTTGACCTGCAGGCAGTGTGAAGTTTTAATTTTGGATGTAAAATGTATATAATCTGCTCAATAATTGTGCTCATTCTTTTTGCATTGGGGTTTATTTGTGTGTTGAATATTATCGTATATTGTGGTTCATGGTAGTGACAGCAATAATAGACCTTGAGCACAGTAATAAAAGTCAAGTGTGTATATAAGTTTCTTGGAAAACATGATCTTAAACATACTGATGTCTGAAATATACTGATAACCCACACTCTTATTTCTTTCTTCAGAAGATTTACACTGTAGATGGAAAATTTTGAGATTTCTTGGAACATTAACTTCAAATACTTTGTCAGAGAATAGCAGTGAGAAGACATTAATATCTAGATTTTGAAGCTAAGTGCTAAATCAGTCATGAGTACTGGTAATTTGGATTTTAGGCAAGAGCAAATTCTTTTTCTGAGACACTTTAATCTGATTATAAAAGTAATATATTACATGCCTGTTGTAAATCCACTGGGAAATAAAAAAATTTTGTTGTCATTTATCAATAAAAGGAATCCTTAAATTTTACTTTGCTCCCGATTAAACAGAAAAATGAAAGGTTAGGGAGAATAATTACACACAGTAATTATAGATAATCTCCTATAGAACATACAATTTCAATACTTAGAGATAACCACCAATAAAATTTTCATTTAATGTTTGCAGTAATTTATTTTATACATATACAAGTTTTCCCAAATTGAATTAAGATCTCATAGACGTTTATGTCATTTTTTGCAATTTATATTATAGATTAATTTTTTTCACACCATATGTATTTTTAAATGGTTTAATAATATTTATCTTAGTAAATAAACCCATTTTTTTTACGTAAGTACATTAAGTTAAACGTATATTTATTGTGTTTATATCAGTATTGTCTGTCATTCCCTGTTTTACTTGGCTTTTCCCTATCTTTTTCATCCTTTTAAAGTTTCATCAGCACTTCCACAACCTTGTAAGTAACAAATTGTGTATTACTTCATAGTTTCTGTGCTCTAATATGACCCTATACTTTTAACTATGTATATACACATATACAGGCAATTTTTGGCCAGTTTTCATTATGTAATAATGGAATCACTTTTTATCATTTTTTAAATTTGACTTCCTTTTTTGACAATATCCTGTGGAAATCAAAGTAAGTATATTTTTAAGTGCTAATTTTTCCTTTGGGTATACTGCCATTTGTTTAACCAGTTTCCTATTGCTCTGTATTTAGATTGTCTCCAGTAATGAACAAATATTTTTGGCAGTGTCTTTGATCATTTCTTTTGTATAGATTAGTGGAAATGGTATCTATAGGCTAAGAGTATCCATATCTGATTGTGTTTAATTTTGACAAAAATAATAAATACACATATTTTAAAAATAAAACATGACTAAAACACTTTTAATGCAATACATTAGTTTCCTGTTCCATTCCTCCATTCTATCTGGTTCTGTTCTCTTTGGGCAGCTATTTTAACTCTTTAATGTGTTTCTTCTTCTGGTCTTATCTGCATAATGCACATACATTGCAATTTTGGAATTATTAATTTTAAATGTTATCTATTAGTTCCTCTTGTGTTAGGTAGAATTCAGATGACTTAAATCTCCCCTATCTTCCCAATATTGTTCTATGAGATTTTCATTGAATGAAAATTAGTGTTTATTTTATTATGACTATATGAATATCATGCACTACAACAACAAGTTTTTTTTTTTTTTGTAATATGATTTAGTTTTTGAAAAACTTTTTCATATCTCCCCTATCTTCCCAATATTGTTCTATGAGATTTTCATTGAATGAAAATTAGTGTTTATATTATTATGATTATATGAATATCATGCACTACAACATCAAGTATTTTTTTTTTTTTGTAATATGATTTAGTTTTTGAAAAACTTTTTCACGGAATTAACATGATGATGTTTTTACTTGCATATTTATCTTTAATATTTTTCCTATTGATGTTATAGATTTATCATTTTGTCTCATATGTTCATATATAAAATATTCTATGATTTCCTTTATTTTTCCTGGACACTTCCCTCCTGAAATATCCATAATTCTGTTTTAATCTGGACTGGACCAGCCACTATCACAATAAGAGTTTCTTTTTCTTTCTCTCTCTCTCTTTCTTTCATCATGTACATTTTTCCTAGATACTAAGTAACTTTTATTCTTGGCTTATTTCCTCATTTTGCTGGAGCATATCTTCCAATAACTTTTTGAAAATGGGTAAATTAAGGGAAAACTTTCTTGTGTGTTTCATGCCTAAAAATGTTCTTATTCTGCCTCCAGACTTAATTAGTAGTAGTGTGGTGGTAAGGTGTGGCCTCATATTTATTTTTAAATACATCATATGTAATACATAAGTAGTTTATAACAAATATCCATAGTGACGAATGAGTTACTGTACTCCAAACTTATAGGGAGTTTGAGGTTCTAATTTTGGATGGAAAAATCTATAAGACCCACAAGAAAAATATGCAAATTCCATTTGCATTGCAATTTTTCATGGGTTAAATATTAAAATTCTAGATTAAAAATAATTTTTCTCAGAATTTTTGTCATTGCTCCATCATTCATCATGTATTTAAAAATTGTTTTTTGCTCTTGAGAGATTGATATTATTCTGCTTCTTATTTCTCTGCACGTGTTCTGATTTTCTCTCTTGTAATTTCCAGAGATCTTACATTTTATGACATGCTTGATTCCCCCGCCCCCTTGCCCCCGTCCCCATTATTATGCTGGCTGAGCTTTTTAAACTTGGAAACTCATACTTTCAATTTCTTGCATTTTTCTTTATTAAAAATTTATTTAAAACATTTCAGTCTATTTTCTCTATACATTTGTTCTGGAAATGCTATTTGATATAGGTTTTCCTAGATTGATTCTTTAAGATTCTTATCTTTTTTTCCCCAACTTTTTGTTGTTGTTATTGTTTTACTTTCTAAAGAATTTTCTTCACTTTCTTTATGTCCTCTACTGTAATTTAATAACTGAGAGCTATTTTGTGTTGTTGGTTACTTTTTCTTATTATGTTGTTCTTTGTTACAGATATAATAATTCTCATGTGAATGTGTTTGTTATTTTGTTCTTTGTTCATATATTATCTCTACCCCACCCCCCACCAGTTTTCTATTCCTTGTTAATTTTTCTATTTTGCATTGGAGATTTTCCTCCATTATGGGTGACTTATGGCAGTTTACATTTGAGTAAGGCAATAAAAACCTCTATGTCCACAGGCAAGGCTTGTCAATTGACAGTTTCCAGTGAACTGGTCAGGCATTGAATCAGCCATTCCGTTAGGGGATTTGTGTCTATCAATATCTAGGCTTATTTTGGGAGAAATGATTCAGATTTTTCCAAAAAAGTTGTTTTCTACCTGGGGCAAATTGTCCGTGCTTTCCAGCATTCTGTAGCAGAGTTAAAGATTCCTAGAGTTTCTTACCATTTCAGTACTTAATATAGTGACGTGTAATCATTCCCTCCCACCACCGCCCCCATGTTTAACACATCATCTCTCACCCATCTTTTGCCATTTGGGTGTTCACAATATCAGAATCTATTTCTTACAATTTTATTGGAAAATTACCATTCCATTTCATGCTTGGAAGAAAGAGGAAGACAGGGGTTTTGCCATTTCATATACAATCTTTCAACCAATCCTCCTGTATTTAGCCCCGTACCTGTGTGTTACCTGGTAACCCACGTCCTGAGAGACAAACAAACCACTTCTCCTGTGGCATTAGCCACCAAAGGAGCTTTAGTTGTAGTTTTCTCTGTTCTGCTAGTGCAGTTATCTCTCATCCATATCCTCTTCTTCCCAATATACTATTGAAATAAAATTTCCTGTGAAAATCTCATTTCCTTTTTTATTTGCCCATGTTGACCTTGTTATTTGTACATTATTTTTACTCATAAACATAAGTTGTAAATTTTATGCTTAACATGGAGTTCTTTATATTTTAATGAATAACTTAAGAACTTTAATTTATATTGACATATTTTCTAGAAATGATATATGGCACCAACAGTGAATGAGAGTGTTTCTTTCTCCAGCCCAAGGCCAAAACTCATAAAATAAAACAAAACAAACATTTTGGCCAATGTAAGAAGTGAATATGGTTTCTTGTTCTAATTTACATTTTTGTCCTTTCTACTGTTTGTGAATATGTCTCCAGCTTATTAAACATTTACATTTTTCTTTTCATCTTTTGACTTTTAATGCTCTTTACCTATTTTTTTGCTCAAGATGCTTTGACTTTTTTCTTATTAGTTTACAAAATCGCTTTATGTGGTTGGGCTATAAATCTTCTGGCATACGTTTTTTACAATTGATTATTTACTTTTTGAGAAGGAATAACTTGCTTTTTTTCTGCTTAATTCCTAATATGCATATGTTCAGCTGCTGTTCTTTATCATTAATGTTCCTTTTCATGTTCTTTTCCACAGGCAGATCCTTGCAGCAGCCAAAAGAGCTGACCAAGTGGGCCATTTTCTTTGGGTAGGATCAGACAGCTGGGGATCCAAAATAAACCCACTGCACCAGCACGAAGATATTGCAGAAGGAGCCATCACTATTCAGCCCAAGCGAGCAACTGTGGAAGGTATGGGTTTTATCAGCAGTATGATACTCTAAGGCAGTGATTGGTACTACCTATGATGGGGGGCCAAAACATGTGTCTTTGAGGGTAGGGCATTTTTACATGATTTATGCAGGGTAGTTTGTATCCATGAAATGCAAATGAAGCCACATACCTAATCTGTTCTTTTAGCTGGTATTCTTCTTTTGAAGAGATCATATTATTTTCATAATAATTATCACAATTAGCATATATTCTCTCTCTCTCTTTTTTTTTTTTTTTCATTTATACCACAAGAGTTTTCTGAGAGGAAAGCATTACCATTAATAAGAAGTAAAATAATAGAACATCCAAGTGTATGTGAGCGTACTACAT